GATGTTCTAAACCGATATTTCCAAATACGAAATAAAATTCTATATCTAGGATTTTTGTTAAAAAAATTCATGTCTATGCGTTACCTAATGTTTTGTCAATAGCTCACTCATTTTTCAAGGTAAACTCCCCCCAGAATAAAAGGCCATGGCCTTCTATTATGGAAATTCACATCGCTTCTGCAAAGGTGGTCTTCTATTGTGGGCTATTTTTTGCTAAGATTTACCTAAAAAACCAAGAGTTTTTGGAAAAATTTTCTGGCTTTCAAAAAGGCACTTTTAGCAGTCAAGTTCCGTAAAACCAGCTTTTTTACTAGAAAAAAAGTAATTTTAGCTATAAAAGCCTTGGTTTTTTACTAAAAGACCGAGATTTTAAATACTAAAATCTAAAAATTCACTGAATTTCTAAAAAAGTTTCTGGAAACTCCATGGACTTCTATTACGCCTTGTGAGTTTTTTTCTGGGATGGCCTTCTAATGAGGGTGGCCTTCTAATATAGGGTGACTTTCTATTCTGGGGAGGGCTTTAGCAATATTTTCTTTCTTCAAAAGATAGCCCTTACTTTTAGCTGCAAAACCCTCTCTCGCACAATTCATTAACATGGAACAGTTTGAAGGGCTTATCACTTCTTTCACACCAACCAAGAACCGAGGCTCTTTTTTGTCTCTGCGTTACCGACCAGTATTTTACTCATAAAATTCAAACAATTAGACAGCTAGGGTTCAAACTTTCAAGTGTCATAGAATTTATTTAGTTACATATTTGTTAAAAATTACAAGTCTTTCCCTCTTATCATTCTCTAGATACATTCGTTCGAAGTTGAAAAAACGTCTGTGCGTTACCTGCGTTTTTCATGTACATACCATTGACTTTACATTCAACAGAATGCTCGATGTGCAAAATAGATCTATCTTTCTCAAATATGACGGCTATTTCGTGTGAAGCATTGTACTTCGATACTAATGATCACTGGTCTCTTGTTTTGATTTAGGAAAATTCCTCTTTCAATTTGAGAGCCATTTTCTACCCATGAACAAAAAAATGGTATAAAAACGCGTTTCAACGCAAACTTTCAGAGAAAAAACGCTGTTTTTGCGTTTAAACGCATCTTATTTTATCTGAGACGCATCTAAGCGCATCGGTTTTCGTTTACAACGCGTTTAAATGCATTTTTTACATTTACAACGCGTTTTTTCAACTTAAAATGCTACCTAAAAACGTCGTTCGAACATGTTTTATTTTTTCGTTACGACGCGTTTATTTGTTATGCATCTTGATGCATTTTTTTTTATTTCTTTCGCTGAAAAGATCTCTTTACAAATGCACCTAAGCGCATATTTTTCAACGCGTTTTTTTACTGGAAAACGGTTTTCCTAATAAAGGTTTCCGAACTTGTATTTCAATTCATGCCTTTTCTTGTAAAAATGAGACTTTTGCAAGCACTACGGAATGGATTTTTACATATGGATGGCAAAGAATACATGAAAAATAGGCGTCTCAATTTTTTTTTCTGGTACTTTCATTTGCAGATAAGCTGAATTATAAAAAAAAATATCTTTAAAAATAAATATAAATCATTATCATTTATATTTGAAATAAATTAAATATTTTTATTTCGAAAATTTTATATTTTCGTAAGTCGAATTTTTTTCAAGTATAAGTTAAAACAAGAATATTTATATTTATTAAAATATAAAATATAATAAATTAATTTACTAAAATTTTAAATCAAAAAAATCCAGTCTATTTTTTCATATAAATTATATAAAATTATGTATCTCAATTTTTTAAATAATAGTAAAAGACAGCCCTAATTTTATAATAATTTTGTGTAGAAAATTATTTCGTAATTTAAGTAGAAAATTCAACAGTTTCACAAATGCGTAAGTATAGTCTAATGGTATATTGTAGACTTCGTAATTACAAGTTTGTTCTGGTCGAATCTGCTCTACGGTAACAAATAGATGCGTTGCAACGCCTTCAGTGTGAACTACAGCTACAGTAGATTGATAGACGTATATTTTCCCAGAGGAGATACGAATTCTGTAAATTTGCTTGCAGACAATGATTGAGTTGAAAATAACATTTTTTTCTTCAAAAATTTTAAGTCTTCTTAGTCTTATGGAATGCTTTTTGTTACTTCAAAAAACGCGTTTAAACGCATTTTAAAAACTGCGCTTAAAGTCTAGCGAAAACATGCGAGCTAATAAAAAAACGCGTTTCGATGCAAAATTTTATAAATTTTTTTTTTCATTGGTATACTTTAGTGATATCGCTATATGGTAAAACAGAGAGATGTTTAACAAATTACCTTCAGTATGTAGTATTCGGAACCAGTTACCAAGTAGCAGAGCACACAGCACAGTAATCAGAGTTAGAATGATGATTATGGCCAGAACACACGGACGATTGCAAAATGAGTTTTTGAACATTGCACTCATACATAAAGATATGCGAGTTTGTCCTGTCCGCTTGTTATCGATAGATGGCCGTATAGGTGGTAGTTCATTGCTGCTGTTAATATCGTTGAGTGTATGGAGCGGGAATGAAGCTGTCTTCGTATGAGTGCAATGTTCAAAAACTCATTTTGCAATCGTCCGTGTGTTCTGGCCATAATCATCATTCTAACTCTGATTACTGTGCTGTGTGCTCTGCT